CAGGAGCCCGACACCTGGGTGCTGTTGCCCCCCACACCCCCAAGGGCAGGGCTGGGGGGACTGGGGGTGGGTGGGTGACCGCCCAGCCAAGAATGCAGACCTGGGGCCAGGCCAGGACTCCAGCTGCCTCCGGCCCAGCCAAGACGCTTCCTGGCCCTCGCCGCCAGACCGCACTGCCCTGCCACAGCCAGAGACCCCAGGTGTCCAGGACCCCAGCTCTCCCCCCTAGGCCCCGCTGCCTGCCCATGGATAGAGGACCCAGGTGTCCGGGCTCCTGGCTGTCACCACTGGGCCCCACTGCCCATCCAGACCCAGAGAGAACCCAGGCGTCTGGGCTCCCAGAGCCCCCCTCTCGCTGACCCATGGGGTAACAACCCAGCACTGCTGCCTGGAGGGAGAGCTCCGAGGCAGGGAGGTGGGGGAGTGGATCCCAGGTGGGGGGGCGGGTTCCCCACAGGCTGACCCTTGACCTTTGAGCCCTGCACCCACAGACAAGCTGCTGGTGATCACTGTGGCCACAGAGCAGACGGAGGGATACCAGCGCTTCCTGCGCACCGCCCGGTACTTCAACTACACTGTGCGGGTGAGACCCCCCTCCCCCGCAGCCCCCCACGGCCCCAGAGAACCCAGGCATTCGGGCGTCCCACTCTCGCCCCCACCCCACCCCCACCTCTCCCAGAGACCCTGGGGGTGAGAGCTCAGCACCCCACACTCCTCCCAAACACTGGGCTTGGCGAGAGCTGCCCCCCACTGACCTTGTGCGGGGGGGGGCAGAAGGTGCGCTGGCTGCAGGCCGAGATGGTGCAGCACGGCGCCCACCATGACCTCGTCGTCATGTTCGTTGACAGGTGAGCAGGGTTGCGGGGGGGATCTCCGTAGGACTGGGAGCAGCTGGGGGGAAGCGGGGTGTCTCATGGTTTTTCTTCCCTCCCACCAGATCTGATGTGTTGCTGGCCGGGCATCATGGGTGGTCTCCATGCTGGGTGGGGAAGGGTCATACAGCATCTCTTTCCTCCCAGATATGAGGTGGTGCTGACCTGGGGGGTAGTGTCTATGCTGGGGGGGTCTCACGGTGTCTCCCCCCGCCCCCCCCCAGCTACAAAGTGGTGCTGGCCAAGAATGGGGGTCTCATAGTGTCGTGTCATCGTCCCCCACCCCCGCTACAATGTGGTTCTGGCTGGGGACCTGGGAGGCATCTGTGTGCTGGTGGGGGGGGTCTCACAGTGTCTCCCCCCACAGCTACGACGTGGTGCTGGCTGGCAGCCCTGGGGAGCTGCTGTCGCGCTTCGCACGCTTTGGGCGCCATGTCGTCTTCTCAGCTGAGAGCTTCTGCTGGCCCGACTGGGACCTGGCGCCTCGCTACCCCTCTGCGCCCGCCGGCACCAAGCCCTACCTCAACTCTGGGGGTATGGCCGGGGGAGCAGTTTGAAGGTCTGGGGCAGGCTGGGAGGGCCTGAAGGGCTGGGGACCCCTGGCGAGGTGGGTCTGGGCAGGGGCTCATCACCAGGGATCCAGGTTAAGAAAATCCCAAAGTTTCTGATTTTAAAAAATCCTTATTTTTCTGTGATTTTAAAATGAAATACCATTGTGTTGTCCCCCACATGTAATTAATTAGCGATATTTTATGTGCACACACACAATTAATTAGTGATGTTTTATATATATGCGCGCAGGTAAATTCATAGTCGTTAGGGACTGGAAGGGACCTTACAGATCATGGGGTCCAGCCCCCCTGCACTTGGGCAGAAAAGACCGCTGGGGTCAGACGACCCCTGCAAGGTGGGCATCAAGACGTTTTTTGAAGATGGCAGGGTGGGTGGCTGGACCAGCTCTAGGGGGAGCCTGTTACAAGCCGACTGTCTGGAAAGAAGTTTTTCCTTATGTGCAATCTGAAGCAATCTTCAATCAGTTTAATGCCTGTTATTTCTTGTTGCTCCCCTGTGGGGGTCCTTGGTGAATAGATGCTACCTCGGGCCGTGATGTATGTCCCTGATATACTTATAGGCTGTCACCAAGTCCCCTCTGAGTCTTCTCTTCTCCACACTGAACAGTCCCGGGTCCTTCAGCTTCTCTTTGTATGGCCTGTTCTCCAGTCCTTGTATCATGTGTATGGCCCTCCTTTGGACTCTCGAGCTTCTCCACATCCTTCCTGAAGTGCAGCACCTTGAACTGGACGCAGTGCTCCAGCTGTGGTCTCGCCAACGCCAAGCAGAGCAGGAGGATGACATCCTTAGTCTTGCTCAAGATACATTGGTAGATCATGCCAGTGTTTGATTTGCTTTGCCAGCTACGGCATCACATTGGTGGCTCATGTTCATTTTGTTGTCTCTCGCGACACCCAAGTCTCATTTGGTTGTGGTTCTGGTGAGAGTAGCACTGCCAAGCCTGTAAATGTGTTGTGGATTATTTGTCCCCAGATGGAGCGCTTGACATTTCTCCATAGTAAATGACATCAGGTTGAGGTCCGCCTACCTCGTGAGCCTGTCCAGGTCGGCTGTATTGCCAGCCTGTCTTCGCACATGACCACATTCCCCCATAGCTTGGTGTCACAAGCAATCTGTCAAAGTTTGCTGATAATACCTGAATCCAAATCGTTAATGAACATGTTGAAAAGCACCAGTCTGAGTACTGAGCCCCGAAGGACGCCACTGGTCACCCTCTGCCCTGATGACTCAGTTCTGTCAATCAGTCCTCTCTGGGTCCTACCACAGAGCCAGTTACCTAGCCACTGGACTGTGAAGTAGTCGAGGCCGCATTTTTCCAGATAGTGACGTTTTATATCTGTGTCTATAATTGTGCGTGTGTGTGTATAATTAGTGATGTTTTATATGCACACATACATAATTGGCGACATTTTATATCTACACAAGCACACAGCTGTTGCACAACTTATCAATTAGCTCAAATGATGACCAAGACCTTATGAGGGGGATAAGGCAAGATGCCACATTTATTGATTATAACATTCAAAAGAGTACTTATACATTCACTCACACACACACACACACTCGCTCTCAATTATTCTGCAGATGTTATAGTTACCAAAGTGCGTTGCTCACTAGGTGGCCAGCCTAGTTAGTATGAGATCAGGATTAGGGGATACAGATGTGTCTGTGTTACAGTGAAGTTTGCAGTGTTACCCCACTTCTTGCTGCTAAGTCTCTCTCCTATGTAGGCTTGTCAGGTTGGTGTTGGGTGACTGGTCTGCCTTTCCTGATTCTGTGGCTCCTTTGTTTGAAATCTCAGTACTTTTCCATCCTGACAGGCAGTTAGGCCCATGCATCATTGTCTTGAGGTGTTGCTCTTCAATCACTGTCTTTACAACACTCTTCCACTATCGCTGGCATGGGCTGTGCCCGGAGTTTCTCGCTTTGAAGACACGGTCTGCAACACCTCAATCTTATCTTTTCTGTTTATCTTTATTCTTCACCTGGTACTGACTGGATTCTGAATTTACCGCTTCAGCCTCTTAGCATAGCTCACCATTCAGTCACTTGTTTGTTAACACATAGCTTATTTCTTCTTTTACCGATCACTTTGCACTCATTCACCCATACATCCAAGGATCATAAAAAAAGAATGCAAAAAGAAAGTATACTTGTTTTGCTATATAAAAATACAGTAACAAAATATTAAAGTACAATAACAAGCTTAATTCATAATAGCAAACTTAAAATTGCTAACTTAAAATTGCTACGCGATTAGTGATGTTTTATATACACACGCACATAATTAGTGACGTCTTATATCTACGCACACAATTAATGAGGTTTTATATACACACAGTGACATTTTATATCTATGCACACGCACAATTAGTGAGGTTTTATATACATGCACATAGTGGTTTTATACCCGCGCGCACACACGTAACTAGTGCCATTTTATATACATCTGTATGCACAAAATTAGTGACATTTCCGTGTGCGTGTGTGTGTATATATATTACAAACATAATTAATTAGTGATGTTTCTGCATGTGTGTATAAGTATAAAATATGTAACATTCATTTTAATCATGAAAATATGTAGATTTTGGGTTATTTTTTTTAATCAGAAAGTTTGGGATTATTTTTATCGGAGAAGACCAGGATCTCTGCTCATTACCCAAGTCCCCTTGCCCCCCCACCCCCCAACAGGCTTCATCGGCTTCGCACCTGCAATCCACCGCCTGGTACAGCTGTGGAAGTACAAGGACGACGATGATGACCAGCTCTTCTACACCCACCTTTACCTCGACCCCGCTCTGCGCGTGAGTCGGGGGGGGGGAGGTGGGCCAGGCCCCCCAGGAGCTGGCAGGACCCCCAGAGGAGGGGGTGGTGCCCTGGGCTGGGCTGCACCGAGCAGGGTTGGCGCCCGGGGGGGCACCCGGGGGGTTCACCATGGGGTGGGCTGAGCAGGGTGGGGACCTGGACCGAATACTGCGCCCCCCCCTCCAGGAGAAATTCAGGCTGGCGCTGGACCACAGGTCTCAGATCTTCCAGAATCTCAATGGAGCCATCGGTGAGTCCCGGCGGGTCGTGAAGGCCGGCGGGGAGGACGTGACAACTCACTCCTGGGCTCTCTGCCTGCTGACCCCCCCTCCCCCACAATGCGGTAGATGAGGTGGTGCTAAAGTTCGAGAAGGACCGAACCCGGGCCCGCAATGTAGCCTACGACACCCTGCCCGTCGTCATCCACGGCAACGGGCACACCAACGC